TAGATCTCGGAAGAAGAAAAAAATCAGGTACACCTGCTGAAACTATTACTGTTTATGATTCTGTTAATATATCTACATCTGTTGAACCCCAAACCTTAGGTGACATAGATGTTGATATAGAACTGACCATACCCTCTGAACCTCTTGCTGAAAATCCTCAAAGAGATCAAGTTTTATCAGATTTGAGTGATTTTGACTCTGATGATTTCTATGAAACCCAAACAGAACCATCCCAATCAGAACCATCTCAATTTATTCCTGCTGAAAATCTTTCTAAACCTCCTCCCAGACCTTTATCACCCAGACCTACTGGATGGTATGATGCTGGCTCTTGGAGAATGCCAAGAATCAACGAACCTCTGGCCACTCTAAAGCCACCATTCACCCTACCTTCTGAAAATATCTTTGCCATGAACAAAACACAAAATCCTACCCCCACTACTGATAACACAGTCATTATTTCACCTGACGTCACACCACCCACATCTCCACAACTTCCAACTCCTAACTCACCAGTGATTTCACCTCCTCACATTCCAGAACACCAAACTCATGAACCATCAGAAACACATGAACCCTCTGAAACTCATACACAATCTGAACCTCATGATCAATCAGCAACACCTGACCCTTTTGAACAACCTGACCAATCAGCAACACATGAACAATCAGAAAATCCTGAACCAGCCGACTTTCTGAAAACTGTAGTTGATTTTGAATCTCTACAATTTCTGAAAAATAAAACCTTCAAAAAGGTTGTTCCAAAATCTGTTCAGCCAGATGTAAATATATTTTTTCAGAATTTTTTAACAGAAGTTCAAGCTTGGTTGGACCTGCTGAAGAAAGACCGCACCAGAAGTGTGAACCCAGCAGCAACAGAACTTCTGTAGGAAACATTCAGAAGAACCTTAGATGCTGAGTCACTGAAGTTGCAAGACTTATGTCACTCTCAGGTGCTTGAGAACTTCTCCAATCATCTGCATGCCTTCTATCAGAAGTTGCTGATATTTGGAACAAGAAGTCTTCTCTGATGATTACTGATGCTCCAGCTGATCAAATGGACATTTCAGAAGATGCCTCTGAAGATTCAAATCCTCTAGTAATAGTTATGTTTAATCAACCTTCTGCTAAAGCAACACCTGAACCTGTGCCAACTCTTGTGATGGATCTGGGCACTCTTCTTTCAACTTTTGTTCGTTCTGACTCAACGGTTGCTACTCCAAAGACTGTGTCTGCTGAAGCTTCTTCATCCTCTGATCCTACTTCACTTGTAATGGATACTCTAAATGAGCTTAAGAGGGATAACGAAGCTATTCATGAGCGCTTGGACAAGCAAGATCAGACAAACCAGGAAATCAGAAACTGGATGATGAAACAAGAGGAATCTGCATCTGAGATCAAGAATCTTCTTATGGCCCTTGTTTCTAATAAATCTTAGTGTCATTCTGTTTATTGTTTTTGTTTGTATTTTGTACCTCTGGATATTTTTTTATTATTAAAAACTTTTACGCTTTTCAACTATTTTTTATATACTTTTTGATTATGCCAAAGAGGGGGACAAATGAGTATTTTGATCTAATCTCTGATTAACAGTTATGGGACTAAGCCTCAAACATTCTAACAAAATACAAGATTTCTTTCTATGTGTAAAAGAATTTTGCAGGTATCCTTTAAACTCTGGAAGTTTAATTCAAATGAACATTATCTTCAAAAGACCTGATGAAGAAATCCCAAAAGAAAATTTCAATGCTCTGATGAAAATTCTCAGGAAGTTTTTCTTATAGAAATATTTATTTCAGGGGGAGATTGAATATTTTTTTGTCATCGTCAAAAAGAGGGAGATTGTTAGAACAAGATTGATTCTGATCATATCTCAGAGTTTTGATGATAACAATAAATTATATTTTATATAATTGATATTCTGATTAACGTATTTAATTGTTTCAGATAATGTTCTGACATAAGCATTTTGATGTGCTGAGATGAAAATAAATGAAGAAGTTCTTTGATGAAAGAACTATTTGTTTTAGCGCAAGTGCTGATGCTGACTCTGGTAAGATAATTATTTAAATACATCTTCTAACGCTTAGCAAGTTTCTGTGTAAGATATGTTTCAGAAGTTCTTTGAAAGCGAGCGCTGATCAGAAGTACTTAAGCAAAGCAAGCGTTGTTTAGAAGATATGCAAGCATGTTCTGATTCAAGACGTGAAGACTAGTTCTGAAAGAATGTAAAAGCTAACAAGTCTTGTCAAGCTTCAGGAAACATGCTCTTACAAGTGCCGTTTGCTCATTTAATGTAAAGACAGCTACATGCACTCAAGTGTCTACGCTAGTTCATTGGAAAATGGAATAGTGCAAGGAAACACACAAACATTTAATGCTCTCCACTTCTGAAGACAACAACAGTCATTTTGTTCTTATTATATATAGAAGAACATTAATTGCAAGCCAACTACTAATCTAAAATAAGCAAGAACTACGTGAAAATATTCTGGGCTCTCAAATCATTTTTTTCATACACTTTGTGCAATACTATTCTTAGTGAAAAATCACAGTTGTGATATAGCTTTCTTAGAAGCAAACTTTGTTTCACTATCTGTAAAGATTTAACTCTTATAATTGTTCATTGAGAGACCAAGTTTGGTCAGATTTCCCAAGTAGACTAGGACTAGTTTAATCTTAGTGGTGTGAGTTACTTGTAAGATTACTTGTGCATTGTTAGTCACAACAGTTGTTGTGTGATTGTAATCAGTTGATTATAGTGAATTAAGTCCTTGTTGAGAAAAGCGAAATCACCTTGGCGGGTGGACTGGAGTAGTTTGAGTTCAAACGAACCAGGATAAAAATAACCTTGTATTTCCATTATTGTTGAGCCTTTAAGAAAAAGAAAAAGAGAAACTTATTCACCCCCCCCCCCCTTCTAAGTGTTTTCTCATCCTTCAGTATTGCTTCAAAATAGGAAAGTATTTGAGTCCCACATCGAAATTGTTTTAAAATATTTAAGAGTTTATATATTTGTTTTATACAACACTAAGTAAAACAACAAATAGTGGGCATATGGAAATATCTTTGTTTTAAGCCCAACATCAATATTTTAATAATTCATTTATAAATACAATTTCATAAAAAAAATTAAATAAAACAAAATAATTTAATATAATAAAATATTAAAAAAATTAATAAAAAGTATAAATTAAAAAAAAATTAAATAAACAAAATTAAAATAATCCAGGTGGATTTAAAAAATTAAAAAAATTAAAATAAAAATAAACTCCACGTAGACTGTCACGCTGGACAAAATATAGAATTTGGCTTCAAATAGTGCGCTTAGGGGGTATAGTGAGGGAATCTGGAAATTGCGAGGGTTTTTTTTTTAAAAAAATTTACGAGGGGTTAAAACTTGAATTCACTAATATTGCAGGGGGATTGAATATTTAACCTAACATAAAAAAGTGAAAAAAATACATTACACATGGCTTTTAAAAGCGTTGTCTAAAGTGAAAGCGCTGCTATAGGCACACTTTATAAAGTGCTTCTAATATAAAAAGCGTTGCCTATAGGGCCTTTAGAAAACTCTTATTGAATAAAATGATGTCTAAAGACTACATTAAGTAGTGTTTTCACATAGATAAAAAACGTTGTCTTTACTTACAACAGCGCAGGAATAGGCAGTGCTTTTAAGCGTTGTGTATGGCAAAAAAAATGCTATTTATTCTCTTATGTGGCGTAGTGTCAAAGTATCTAATAGAAGTAAGAAAAGAGTAACAAAGTGCGGTATATATATCCAAACACCATTTTTTATCAATTCAAAGTCTTTTACATAAAATTTACTTTTAGCACTTTACTTTCTGTCAAAACCCTTTACCGTTTCTACATTCTTATTTAATATTTCATTCTATGTTAAGGATTTTGTTTTCAATCGAAGTCATCATCTTTTACGTAGAAACCCATACAAAAAAATTTAAGAAACTTTTGACACAACATGTCATAGGATCAATCTAGTCGATCTTGCAAGTAACCTTATTTCTAAAAAGGCTGGCGTTTATTTACTAAATTTACGATAAACACATGGATGCGACTTTTAATAAACATCCTGGTACTACTAATATAGGATGGTGTATGTGGAATAATATAGGGAATTTCATCATAGCAGGCGTTGTTTGGGATTTAGGTACCCTCTCAACCATTGAAGCAGAAGCCATGACCATAAAATATGCTATTATTGGAGCTATAACGCTGCACGTGGATTATATTACCTTTGAAAGTGACTTCCAAAGAGTGATTCAAGCTATCAAGCTAAACATAATGGTGGTTCCAAGTTTAGTATTATTATTGAGTCTATTATCAGGTTGTTACATCAATTTCTCAACTTTGAAATAAAGTTTATAAAGCATCAAGTAAATTTAATTGTCCACTCTTTAATAAGGACAACAAATTCTTGATTTAGACGTAGTATATTTAATTCGATTCTTCTTTATATTGAACAACTTTTTAATTAATGAAATGCATTGAGTTTATTTCGATAATTGTTTTTAATCAATATTAAATATATTTGTAATTTGATCCGTGTAAAAGAATGTCTCTGTTACACAATTTAAATAAAACAATAATTAATAAATATGGAAGTTATATCTCTTTAGCTGTAACACAATTTAAATAACTAGACCCTTGTCATATTTTAATAACTCATCACATATGATTATATCGTATCCGTGTTCATACTACACATATCCAAACATGATAGAGGATAAGTAGATAACATACCACAACAATAATAAAAGGACACCTTGCAAAGTCACAGTTTTTCATGTATACCTCTTTTATGTATCTTTCCATGAAGTCACGAGTCATGTACTCATGATCACACACATACATGAACATGGCTATGTATGGCCCAACCCTCTAATGGAAAATCAAATAACAACCACCTAAAGATACACACACGATACTACTAAGTGAGACAAAGCAACGTAGGAAAATTGAAGTGTTCGAAAATCCAAATGGAGAACTATTCATACCAATCATACCCAGATTCAGGAGAATCTTCACCTCGTTCTAGAGAAATCGACTTCGAAAACCCACCCAATCCAATCCCATGGGACGAACAACAACAACAACATCAACAGCAACAAAGTAGTAACTACAAAGCCAAATTCATGTGTAGCTACGGTGGCAAGATCCAACCAAGAACACACGACAATCAACTCTCTTACGTTGGTGGAGAAACCAAAATCCTAGCCGTTGATCGCAACATCAAATTCTCCTTAATGATCTCTAAACTCTGTTCTCTCATCGAAGCACCTGATGTTTCGTTTAAGTACCAACTCCCTGGCGAGGATCTCGATGCTCTTATTTCTGTGACCAACGACGATGATCTCGACCACATGATGCATGAATATGATCGTCTCTACCGTGCTTCCGCTAGACCCGCACGCATGCGATTATTCCTCTTTGTTAACGAGTCTGATTCTGCTCCAAACAATTTAAACCAACCCGACCCCGTTAAACCTTCCAACGTTGATTATCTGTTTGGAATCGAAAAGCCTGTCGCCGTCGTTGCTCCGACTCCGGTCCCCGTGCCGGAACATGTTGCTCCACCACCTGAGTATCTTACTCGACCGGGTTTGAATTTGAATCCATCTGATCCTGGTTTGAACCACCCCTTGAGGCAGTTTCAGCGGATGCAGATAGCGGAGAACGAGCAAAATGCGTATAGGAGAAAAAGTGAAGATAACCACCTTGTCGGAAATTATCCTCCTGGTCCCGGAGATTATTACGTTCAGAAGACGCCTGAGAAATTTCCGGTGACGAACTTCGTTCCACCACCGCAGCAGCATCACACTGGTTATTGGCAGGAAAAGCCTGTTTCCGGCGAGGCTTATCCACCGGTTGCTACTGGAGGAGGTGACCAGCCTCAGCCTGTTTATATGGTACCAGCGCCGGGAAATTACTATCATGCGCCGGTGAGTCAAGGATACTACGCGGTGCAGAGAATGCCATCTGATGGTTACCGTGAAGCGCAGGTTTACGGCGGCGCTCCGCCTCCAAAAGTGTCGGCGACTTATGCAGCGGCGCAACCGGTTAAAGGTCCTGCGTATGCGGAAGGTGTTAGTGTGGTTCGATCAACTGGGATACCGGATCATACTCCAGGTTCGTACGCACAGGTGGCGTATGATAGTGCCAGTGGGAGACAGGTTTATTTTAATGCGCCGGGTGGGGTAGTACACGCCCCACCGTATCAAGGAGTTGCTGCACCCGTCACCACAGATGTTAAAGTGATGAGCAAGATTTCTCAAGGTTCAGTGTGATTAAAAGTTGGAATTAAGATTATAATTAATTAATTATGATATATTGATATTACATGTTATGTTATGTTATTATTGTTGTAAACTATGTAGATTGTGTGCTATATTATGGTTGTGTTTAAATTTTCCTTTATGCCCACTAATTTATGTTTTGTTTGTTCTGTTTTTAGAATTATGCTTAGCTCTTCTTCCATTTATGTATTTATGTGTCCTTAATTTAGATAGTTTTGGGTTTAAACTTTTTGTTTCCCATGTAGTGTACCAACATGTGACAAGTGCACAAGGTTTAGTTAACTGTTGCATTCAAAATCATAATTATTTGATTATGTTAGAAAAACAGTGACATCAAACATAACAGGTGGAATTTTCGTATAGGAAGGTTGCGTTTACTCAATAATATAAAACAACCATCATTGCTCCCACCATATTTTGCTTTGAATTTAAGTAGAAGTCTCTTTCATCACAATTTCCTTTGAAGATTTATCATGGCTTCACACTAGTATATAAACATGTTTTTATTTGTATGACGTACTTTGAGGTAGCGTGGCTTCATTCTGCGTTGGAAAAATGTAGGTGTTGTTGTTTTATTTTGACTATTTTGTTTTATATGATATCTCTTATTTATACTTTTATTGCTATTTTATCATAGTTCTAGATAGGCATATTTAAGAAGAAACAATGAGTTGAATGGTATAATAAATTTTATTTTTTTTATTTTTTTAAGGTGAACTTTACAAAAGGCTACTATTCAATTAGTTTCAACTTTTTGAATTATATATTTATTAGATTATATTTGTGTGTTTTTTTTTAAGAAAGTGGAGATCCCATGTGAAAGCTTGTGTTTCTTTTAGTAATCTTGTTGTTTTAGTTAATAATTGTCTTATTAGAGATATCAATATCTAAACGGATTGAAATAAGGTGATCATTTTACTCTAGAAGACAACTTCTATCCTAGAGGCATAGGCATGTTAGTTTAGGAGAGAGAGAGTTATCTTATTCAATTTGGTACTTAATGTCATTCATAAGTTGCCTGCTAAGATGGGAAAGAAGTTAGTTAGGTTTTTAAAGGAGACTTCTTTGGAGAGGGGTAAAAGGGGATTCTTAGATCCGTTTACTGGTTTGATGTGTGTAAACTTAGAGTGACGAGTGATTTAGAGGTCTAAGATGTCAGTTTAAATAACTTAGCTCTGCTTAGTTAATGGCGATAGAGATAGATCTCAGAGGCGACACATCTTTGAAAAAATATTATTTCTTATAGATATGGATCACATGTGGTTTATTCCTTCTTCGGGGTAGATCTTTCTCCTCACATCTTATACATCTGGTGGAAATGAGTGTCTTTGTTAGGTTCTAAAATAAGTGATCCACGAGAGTGGATTGTTGATGGTTAATAACTAAAGTTGGGTAATGGTCGTTGCACCTCTTTTCGGGATGATCATTGAGTCGATTATGTCCCTCTTAGTGAGAAACTTAGGCTTCATAGTATTTCTAGTTAGCTTGGTATGACTGTTGTTGAGGTTGGGATATGAGTGGAGAGTATGTTTGTTCCAATCTTAGGTGGATGAGATCACCTTTTGTTTATGAATAGGATATGGTTAATGACTTATTCTTCATTATTCAAAAAGTGACTCCTTTCTCAATATTTGGATCATTAACGTTGGAGTCATGCAAAAGATGAAGTCTTTTCGGTCTCCTTGACTTATTCTACTCTTCTTGAGTTGAACATTCCTTTGGTCTTCAATTCCACTAGAGTGGATTTCGTTATTCCTCTTATTTGGGATAGTTGAATCCCTTTTAAACTAATTGTGTTCTCTTGGCACCTCTTGCTGGATAAGATTCTCACTAGGTTAGTCTTTTTAAGTGAACATTATTGTTGATCTAGAGGGAGTGTTGTGTCCTTTGTGTGGTAGTTTGGTAGAGTCGATTGATCACTTATTTGTTACCTATGAGTTGGTGACCTATCTTTAGTATATGATTTTAAGATGATTAGGTTACTTCTCCCTAGAGATCTTTGGGCTATCTTTGATCTTCTCACTACTACAGAAAACACATACAATAATGTTTGTGAAACACATATAATGATGGTAGCACGTATGTTGTTAGGTATCATGTGATTATATGTATGCTAGTTATCACAACGGGCGTGTGATCGTTGTTATAAATTAGATAGTGTGCGACTTATAACTACGATTTATGGAAACAACCGTTGTGAAATAATTGAAAGGACTTGAGTTCGAATCCTACAATACAATGCTATTTTTTGTTTTTATTATTCTAGATAGCGTTCTACTTATAACAACGGTTGAATTAACAACTGTTGTGATATTATTTTGTGCTTTTTAAAAATATATTTTCAATTTTACAGAATTCCCAATTTTGCAACCCGAATACTTCTGAATCGTATCATACCAGAAGCAACAATACACCTATTTGTGAATTGAATTAGACCAAAAATTGTATTACACCAATGACAAAATTGATTACAATGTACTCATCCATTAGGAACCAAACCTTGTATATTACATAAAAAACAAAATTGAGACAAAACAACCTACAATGTACTCATCATTACATCAAATTATACTATCTTATTGTCTTTGTGTCTTGTCTCTTTGTGTCTTCACTTTAATCACCTATAATTTTAAATAATAATAGTTGTTAGAAATTAATTAACATCATTTGAAATTATAACAAACAATAAATTATGAATGAAGAATATAAAATACTTGTTAATTTTCCCATATTCCTTCTTGATGATCTTTACAAATAGCATGTGTATCATCTTGTTTACCGGGAAAAATGGTAAACAACCGCTGATCCTCCAAAAGGTTACTTATTTGGTGACTCGCAGGATCGATCAGATTGATCCTAAGACATGGTTGATCTTTGGAGTTTAAAGGCTTTGGAATAAAGAGTTTCGATTAATCCTAATGGTGATTAATGCAAGTAAAGTAAAGATACTTTAAATAAATTGCATGGAGAAAAGCTTGGTAAAGTAAATAAAAGCATTAAAGTTATTAAGTAAATGACTTCGACTGAAGTAAATGAGTGAAAGTGATAAATTGCTTGAATATGAAAGACTTTGATTAAGGTAAATGGTGTTTCACACATACATTCTCAATGATTCTTTCTCTCACACTGGATACTTGAATCTAAATGAGTGACTTGTATACAATGATGAACACACACTTAACTTTGTAATCACTTAATATTTATACTAAAAAAAACCTAAGTAACTGCTGGGCAGTCACGCCGCTTCATGATGACGCCACATGGCATGCTCTCAACCTTCGACGCCTACGTGCACGACACGTTGCGCTTGGTAACTGCTGGGAACCGTTTTCCCTCCAACAATTCAGAATTCAAACCGTTCGATCTTGGGTATCAGGGACCTTGGTCGAGAGGTTTCTCCTTCGACGTCGAAGACAACAAGATTCCAACTTAAAGGAATTTCTCTAAGTATCTTGTCATTCCTTGATGAGCCTTCGACGTGATCAGCTGGTCGAAGCCTTCTTGTGTAGGAAACTCTTCTGACTCATAATTAATGATCTATATGATGAACAAACGTGGGTGTCGAATTTAGGAGCCAACAAATTGCCCCGCAAGAATGTCTTATTTCGACGCTAAAAAGAAAAAGGCATTCTTTGATATTCCATTCGACACCTGTCCCTCACTCTCAACCACAAATCAGTTTGTGTGCTTTTCATCTACCAACCAACTGACAAACTCAAAAAGTCATCATTTCACCTTTTCCCAAGACGTCACTTCAGTAAGACACTTTTCACGCACGATGGCCTTTCAAATGCCGTCATCATGACTATTCCCCGAAATAGAGGAAGCACGCTGCAACGTTTCTGTTTTTCAGAACGGTTACAACACCAAATACGTGCCACGTGCCCCACTCTTGTCTGTGGCATTAAATGACCTCGAGCCCTGTGATTTTTTCAATCACTATAAATAGCACTAAGTTCCTTAGTTGGACTCTTTACGCTTTCTTGCATCCAAACCTTCAATCGAACGAAGTTTTCTGCAAATAAACCTTTGCTTCTTCCTCTCCAATCCCAGTAATCTTTATTCTTCATCTACTCTCATCTCAAACCAAAAAATGGCTTCACGCACTCGTATTCCCAATACCCCAAGAACTAACATTCCCTCCAAAACTGCTCGACCAGAAATCTTCTCAACCGCTCTGATAGTCAATTCTATGGGAATGCGAAGGGTTCCTGAACCCATGGGTGAGGCTGAACGTGAAACCTATGGTTCTCAACTGCTGATCCTCGTTGGATACTCCAACCAGGTTTTTGCCATGTCAGGCCCTCTTTCAACATGCATCAATGACCCCACAAAAATTGAGGGTTTCTTCCATGTGCATGCGGCACTCAAACCTGTTGGGTGCTCAAAGAAAGAAAAAGATGATACTGAAGATCCTGCGAAGGAGAAGATAGATCTTCGGTTTTTTAACAGGGGGGTTAGGGATTTTCGCTCTAGCCCTAGTCTGACACCAGAATATGTCGCTTGGCTCCTTAAGATGGAGAGGTTCCAGGCTTCGATTTGGAAAAGTATGGGCATCTATGACCTGGTCATGTTGTCCAAAACTGGCCTTAACTACAACCCTGACATGTTGGTAGCTTCATTGCTGTTTTAGGACTACACTCATTATACCTTCCACTTGCCTTGTGGAATGGTTACACCCACCCTCTTAGATGTGGCCGCTATTACTGGTCTTCGAGCAACTGGGGACTACTTCGACCCAGAGGAAATGTCTGAAGACCAGATTGGGTTTTCTGCTACCAAACCCACCTACACCACCTACACCAACCATTACCACGACAAATCGACAACTGTGGTGACTGATGTGGAGCACATCGCGTTTCTATCCCTATGGCTGTTGCGCTTCGTGTTCTGCACGAAATCTCTGCAGGCGACGAAGAAAATGGTCACCCTCGCTACTCAGCTTCATCACGGCCAAAACATCTGTTTGGCCGAGTTAATATTGGCGAATT